CGGGCGCAGCGCGTCGGCGCACTCGAGAAATGCGTTGTGCCACAGCGGTTGGTCGTGCGGTGTCGGGACCGTTGGCGTGTTGCGCCGTCACAGTAAACCGTGTGCCGTGACTCCATCTTTCAGCAGAAAGCGCCATCGAGGTGAAATGCGAGCCAAGCGAAGGACGGCCTGCACCACTGGGCGCTTCTGGTCGCCGAGCAGCAAGTCCTGGAGGTCGCCCCACGCCGCATACGCGAGCGAGACGAGCGTCCAAAAGATCCACGCCGGGCAATCCTCGGGGAGCTGTTGCGCTGCTTGCGCGAAGCATCCTGGCCCTGTGTCGCGCGGTCCAGAAGGGCAGTGCGCGCACGAGACCCAGGCCGGCAAGACGACGAGGCGAGAAGGCAAGGTCAGCACGGAAGTGGCGTACTCTGTACTCCGGCGCGCGATCGGCTCGTTGCGCAGGAATTGAAGCATCATGCGGTCGATGAGCTCTCTCAGGGCGTCACCCACGCACAAGTACACGTTGTTGTTGTTGCACCGACCGGGGACTTTGAAATATCCGACTTGTCAAGTTTCGAGCGACGTATGTGCAATGCATAGTGCGCTCGATGAGCTCTGATCGATGAACACGCCGTTGCTTTTAACAAATTATCATTCCTGTGGTTTGAAATTGCTTGATGAGGACGCGCGTTATCAACTCCAACGTGTAAACCACGCTACATGTATTAGAGGGCTGATCGGACCGTACTCGCTGGCGGTACATACTTGTGCCACGCGACCACGACCGATTGGATCGTTTTCCAGCCAAGCAGGTAAGAAATGACGTTTCTTAGAGTTGGAAAAGGGATCGATTTACAACAGTTGTCGGCGGCATCTCCCAAGCAGGACCTGATGCAGACGACCGCGCCATCGCGAGACAAATCAGCCCGCCGATTCTGCTTGCCATTACTCGTTTCTATTGGAACCAGCAGCTTTCGATTCACATGCGGCTTGCGGCTGCCAGTTTCGTGGCTGCAGTTTGGCTTCAATCAAACGCGATCCTAGGCGGTGGTGGACCTGCGTGGAGAACTGACGCGCCAATCCACTCCGCCATCTGATTGGCCGAGCCGTACCCAATCAGCTGCCCATCGCATTTCACAAACTCCTTCACATTGCCCATGCGGCCAAGTCAGCCTCTCCTCTCGATCGACCCGCAGACCAAGACCATCGACACCAGCACCGGCCTCTTGCTGCTTCGAGACCTTTTCTGCTGGCCCTTCCAATGGCTCACCTACGCCACGCTTCTCTACGCTTCCGCCCACGTTCTCTTGACGCTCATCGCGTATCTCGCCGTCGTCCCCCGTCGTCCTTCTCGCACTCTGTCTTGTGCCGTACGCTGTGCTGCGCAGCCTCGCATGCGTGGCCATCCAGCGCTCGGGCCGTCTATTGTACCCGTGGCGCGTCTTGTACGCGTGCACGCGCCCGCTGGTCGTCGCCGACGTGAGGCTCCACAACCAGTTTGCACCGAG